CCACAGAGGCGGTCAGGTCGGTCACTTTTCCAGGGGGGAAGTCATCCCTGGGCACAGCTGGCACTCCCTTCACTGTCACTGTGCCCCCACTGGCAGTGCGGCTGAAGCTGCCGAGAGCTGTGCTAGTCTGGCGAAGAGAGGGGGCGCTACGACGCATCCTACCTATGAATTAAAAGAAAGAAAGATTACAGTGTTACAAGTGGCAGTAGGTCCTTGCTGTGATTTTGTGTGTACGTGAGTGAGAGAAATGGGAAAGTTAATTTAAGTGTACATGTCTAAGTGTGTTGAGGTTAACACTTCTGTATGTGGTTCATATTGTTGTATATGTATGGTATTGTGCTCTTTGTAGTGTGTATTGACGAGTACACATTGTAGTGTGTGTATTGTAATTATTGGTGTGTTATAATTCAAGTATTGTAGTGTGTATAGTGTATTCTGCATATTGTTCTTGTGCATGTTGTACTGTAGAGTGCATTTCATTGTGTGTTTTGTGCATATTGTATTGTGTGTGTTGGAGTGTGTCTGTTTTATTCCGAGTATTGTGGTGTCTTTATTTTAGTTTGCATGTATCCTTTGTATTTCTAAGTCTTTCGTACCACTGCTATGTCGAGGTCTTTCTGGAACAGCATTTTTGGGGTACTCCACTCCGCCCTTGACACCCTGCACCTCAAACTTTACACTGTATCTCCCGTTACCCTTAAAGCTGTGGAACATAGCTGAGTATATGCCATCATCTTTCGTTTTATCAGCTCCTGCAAAGAGAGAGTTGTATAAACACAGGCGGAGAATGAGCTGACTGTACAGTCCACAGTACATTGAACTGAGAAGGAGAGAGATGGCAATAAACACTAGATGGCAAGACAGCAGCTAGAGAGAGAGAAGGAGGAACCACTTCAATTGAAAAAGTCCACTAGACTCTCAGTATGACATTCAGGTCCTTGCAAAAGAATTCAGCCCAGGCATAAGTAGACATGAATTCAACCCCTTTGCTGTAGCAAACCTAAAGGAATTTAGGTCCAAAAAATCACTTTAATGAGCCACACAATTTTGCACAAACTCAACACAGTGCATGACTCAATCAACACCATCCGTACAGTCAAGCATGGAGGTGCAGTAGTATTATAGATCTGCTCTTCATCAGCAGGGACTGGGAAGCTTGTCAAGACTGATGGGAACACAGTTCTGGCAAATGTTAGAGGAAAAACTGCTTCAGACCCAAAACCGGGATACATTTCTCCTTTCAACATGACTATGATTTAAAGCACAAGGCCCAGGCTACACGGTCACCAAACCAACTGTCAGTCAGGTAAATGACAGACGCATTCTAGCTAGATTATTAAAAAAACATTATGCTCTGGCATCATACCTTCCCACTACTGTGGAGTATGTTTTACAGTGCAGTGGTCTCCGGCCAAGCTGTATTAGTTTGTGATTTTTAAAAGTTTTGGAAATGAGAACCTATTCCCAGTTGATTTATCTGGTTAAATAAAGGGCTGTACCTCCAAAGCTCCCTGAACTGCCCTGATATGTGTAATGTGCAAATGACAGACAGTCAACACGTGCCTGTACCGCTGTCGACCAGACGCAGTTTATTCACGGTCTTTTCACCAAGGTCCACTATAGCTGTGACGTTGGCATTGATGACAGGCCAGGCGCCCTGGGACAGCTGAGCAGAGATCAGGAGGGGCTGAGGGTAGGTTGTCTGTGTCTCGCTTATGCCTCCAGAGACAATGACCGGAGGGACACATTCATCGGCGGCTCTGGAGGTCACTAGCAATGTGAAGGTCTGGGGGGAGCTGTGGGTGTTGACAACCTTGTAGCTCCATATACCAATCTGCAAGATTTAACCAAGAATGAGAATTTAATACAGGCACTTGCAGGTCAACGAACACGTTTTGGCATCTTTAGCAGAGCAGAGAGATGAACCAGAAGGGCAGCAGGCAAGGATGAAAGGAGCTCTGTAAAGAGGATGCTTGTAGCAAAGAGAAGAAGAGGTGGAGATTTGCCAACCTTGAGATTTTTGGTGCCACCCCAGACAGATGTACTGTAAAAGCAGCCATATTTTAGAGTGTCTGCATCCTTAAGAATCCTATAGGGCTGAAGCAGCTAAATGATTCATAGTGCTGAGTTCTGCAGGTGTCATTAAAAATGATTGTTTCAATTTAATTTGGTGTAGCTCAGTACAGATGAGCTAAACTGACCGATGGAAAATGAGACATGCTTGGAGCCAGGGCAGAATTCTGTAAGTGTCAAGATATAAAAAAGGCTTGCTTAAAATGTACAGGACATAGTGCACATCAAAACAATATCAGGAAGGGACAATATCAGCAGGTATGTAAGGTAAGTGTTAGTACTTAATATGTATGGAATCATAACTGGAATATTTTAACTAAACAATAGAGCTCTTCATCAGTCACAAAACTTCCTCAAGGTCTGTTAAAGAACTGACTTTGTAAAAACAACAGTAATTGATGTTGTCAAGAGAAAGTGATCTACTTAAAAAAACAGGACCTAAACTATTTTCACTTCACCCATCAAAACCGTTTTTCTCTTGTTCTCATCAGACACCTGATTTTCACTAACAACCTCCAGCTTTTACTCAGAACGTACTCTAAATATCAAATGTGATATTTAATTAAATGAAGTACTGCAATAATGACATCAAGCATCTTATAATGATTATATAAGACAAATGTAAATGAATGTTGAAGTCTCTATTCAACTCTCCTAATGCCTGAATGGCTTTATTGATTTAGTAATTGTTCCTGTGTGTTCAGTACCTCGGCTATTCCAGGGATGTTCAGCTTGGCGATTTTCTCCCCTGAGTGTATTTCCATGTCGTTATTTTTGTAGGATCCTCCACTCGGGCTGCGGACTGTGATGTCTGGCTGGGCATGTTCCCAGGTGAATGCCAGCACGGTGTTTTTGCCAACAGTGGAGTCCACAGGGACTTCACCCTGGAACCATGACCCTGGGATAGTCCTACCCCCTTTGCTCAGCAGCTGGATTTGAAAGAAGAGAGAGAAAAAAGTCAAGCGCCAAAGTCTAAAAGATAACAAATTAGACTGGAGATTCACCTCCTCCAGTCCCTCAGGAAAAGAAGCTAGAAGCCGTCTCTAGAACTGGCCTTAAAGGAACACAACAATGTTAGACGTGCTAGAGAAGAGGTTTCCTGTTTAAAATGTTCCACCAAACTCAGATGTATTTCAGATTTATTTTGCAAACCTGATAATATTATCTAATATAGGGATAAGATGTTTGATACTAATTTGGAGTCTGACTCAAGGGGTGCACAAGTTATAAACTTTTGTAATCTTGGAATTTTGTTCAGGATGTTTCTATGACCACAAGAAGTCATGGACACATTTTATAACCCATAATCACCCTTCTCTGATCTGCTCCCCCACTTCCATCTTCCTCCTCTGTCAGATCTGCTCCCCAAATTCACCCTTCTTCATCTGTCTGATATGCTTCTTCTGCTTCTTTTTCCTTCGCAGTATGATCTGCTGTCTGTGTTCTCTTATCTTCTTCTGTTTGATTTGCTCCCTGTTCCCCCATTTCCCTCTGTTTGATCTTATCTGCATTTTCCCTCTTCCTCTGTTGTCTGATCTGCTAGCTTTGTTCCCTCATCCCCATCTGTGTGAGCTGTGTGATCCACAGCCTTTTGTCCCTCTTCATCCTCTGTCTGATCTGCTGCCTTTATTCCCTCTTTCTTCTGTTGGATCTGGTCCCCCGTTCCCTCCTCCTCTGTCTGATCTGCCGCCTGTGTTCTTTCGTCTTCCTCTGACTTGCTCCCTGTTCCCTCATCCTCCTCTGTCTAATCTTCTTTACATGCCCCCTCTTCCTTCATTGTCTGATCTGCTGCCTCTGTTCCCTCATCCTAATCTGTGTGACTGCAGTCTCATTCCCTTCTTCATCCTCTGTCTAGTCTGCTGCCTTTATACCCCCTTCCTACACTGTGTGATCTGCTACCCCTTTTCCCTCTTCCTTGTCTGTCTGATCTGCTGTATCTGTTCTCTCCTGTGCTCACTCACCCTAGAACACACCACTGCTTTACTGAAATCTACCCCTCAACTTGTGGAAGGTCCCAGCTGCTCACTGTCCATCATTACAGCCATCTCAGCCCAGCTCCTGACCCTACCCTCCTGTGGTGACTCTCCCTGGGGTGCATGGCAAATTCGAACATTTTGCCTTTCTTTCCTATGTCTTAAATATTTCATCAGACGAGATGGGGCTGAGACCACATAATTGTTATCAGCAAATTCTTTTACAATTACAGCGACACTTGATTCTTTTATTGCAATTACTCTCTGGATAATTGCAACATTACTGTGCATGAGACAGAGACTGTTCTGTAATGAATTTCCAGGGATTCATGACCTATTCTGTCTGAATATTGTTCTTTGTTACCATTTTTCATGTGATCGATGTGTTTGGTTGACATCTGCGAAACTTGAAGCTGTACATCATCTTGTGGGACATTATAGATGCTGAAGCATTCTGAGCCCTTGAGTGCTCCCATTATTAGACAATTGTTTTATAACAACCTAAAAATTATAATAGTAGGAACGGTAAGAGCAGCTCAAAGCCACACCTGGACAGCACTAGTGATGTCATCTCCAGACTGAGAAGTGATGTCACTGAATGCATCCATCAGTGCGTTGGAGTCCAGTTTGTCATTGGCTGAGAAACTCTTTCCTCCTGTTCAATGAAATCACAATGGATTTAGATATGGCAGCACTAAATGGACAGCATTACAAACCAATGTGATGTCACTTAACATCCAAGCATTCTGGTACATGTTCTATCTGGAAGGTGTTTTCCCAGTCATGCTCAAAGAAATGACACCTATCTAGGAAATTTCAACTCAAATAGGTTTGCCACAGTACTCACAGATGGGAAAATTGCTCAATCTAAACTAAATCATGCAAAGGGGATGGGAAGTGATCCAGGAGACGAGGATCACAAACAGTCTTACTTTATCAAGAAGGTTACGGAAACAACAGATGTAATCGGAGTGTCTGCAAAACCATGACATTTTAAGAGACCTCCAACAAGGATTTAGAAAGGGTTGGTTTTGTTCTGCTGATTCCTGCATTCCCTGAATTTTGTTCAGTTAATTTCAGGCAAAGGAAAACCCCTGTGTCCTTGCCCCTTGAAAAATAAAAAAAACACTTCCTTTCAACTTTCAAAAGAATCTGGAAAGACAAACCATATCCCCTTTCCTCTTGTTCAGATAGAAGCAGTCCAGATGTTTCCCAATATGTGATTGTCTCAATGCACTGCTTTGCAGGAAGCTAAGCTCACAAGGCAGAACAGTGGAGAGTCTCGACCCCTGGCTGAAATACCTGTCCCGGTCGCAAACTCCTCCAGCCGGGGGTCGGCACTGGGTCCCAGAGCGATGGTGTGAACAGTGACACCACTCCTCTTCACTTCCTCCAGACAGGACCCTACGCTGCTGTCTTCGCCATCCGTCAGGAGAATGATCTCGTCCCCAGCCGTGTCCCCGTCATCCTGTCGGAGAACCTGGGAGAGGAGGAACTGGTCAGGACAGCAGTGTGGAGCAGCGCTCGGGGTTCAAATCCCAGGTGAGACACTGCTGCTGTGCTCCTCAGTGAGGTACAGTGCTTCACCTGAATCAGCTGTAACAGATATTGGTTCAGAAAATATGCACCGCCGGCGATTGCAGGCTCAGGTCAATATCTCAGATAGGAGATAGAAGACCAACGAGGGGTCCTCCCTGGGATGGAATAATCCCTTGCAAAACAGTTGAAAAAAAGAAAGAGGAGGCCTTTCTCTTCTAACGAGGGGCAAAGAAACAGGAATGTGCACCTGAGCTTCAGTTCTGAAACAAACGCAAAAACACTTGTGTGGGAATCTTATGTAGCTGCTCCTTCAGAGTGGGTAATGATCTTGACATTCATTCCCACGCGGATGATGGAGGTGAGGACTGAGCCAGGTGTGTCGTCTTTCTTTGCCCTCTAGTGGGGATCAGTGGATTTACAATTCGGAATGCCTCTTCTGTGCCACACAGCCCAGTCAAATACCCAGCTGTATAAACAGATGTAGGGTACTTTGACTCCAAGCCAAATAAATTAGAAAATCATATTTTTCAAAGGGGTGCCGTGCTGTGACCCTGTAACTATATTAAAGCTGCTCCTGTGCTTATTGCTGATCCTATTTCCTGTCCAGGCTTTGAGCACATGTTTGACATCCAGCATGGTGGAGCCTTTTCATTTTTTTCTCTACAATTTCCATTGCATTTGATTTTAACTAAACACTGTACTGGTTTATTAGAGATGCCCATTAAAGTCATGCGAGCTGATACACACAGATGCAAGTCATGCACCAGCCCATAACTGTCGCACTTTCCCGTTGAAGAACAGCAGTCAGAAGCTGCAGGCTGGGTCCAAGTCTAAAGAAGGAATGAGCTTAAAGGTGAGAGAGCAAGCCATGGGCAATCATCCCAAAGCCATCATCCAAAACAAATAAGGGTCAAAGCCAGAGAGACTCAAAAACAAAGCATAGTCCATAGGGGAAATCCAAGAGTGGAGTCAAACAAAGCACAAGTCAGAAAATGAGGTAAGCACACTATGAATTCCCAAACTAAGATGAAGATCTCTAAGACTGCAACCCGAGTATGACAGGGTCAGGTCTTCAACAGCCAGGTCGAAGTGTGCACAAGTGGGATTGATTTTCTACCTGATCTGGAGTTATAGTAACTGGGGTTATAGTAACTGGGTCACGCCCAGTACACCTAGAGGGCGCTCTACTTTCCTCCTGTTCCTAGTTCCCTGTGATTATTCTTGTCTTTCTGGTGCGTCTTGTTGTGGAGCCTATTTACTTCCTGCTTCTGCTCTGCTCCTCGCTCAGCATTGAGGTTCGGATGTCTTGAGACCCACCTAGCACCAGGTCACTCCTGTCCTTGGCCTGAGGGCCTAGGTTTCTATACGGCTTCTCCTGGACAGCTGAGTCTGGGCTAACCCCCGTCTCGCTGCTACGCATAGGGTCTATTTTCGCTCCCCTGCCATTCCACGGTTCGTCCTTTCCGACATCCGTGACAAACTGCTGGCAGTTGTGGTGATTCTAGTGCAGTTTTGCGATACTTCATTGAGAGCAAGCATGACACAGCCACGCCGTTTACCCACCTTGGAAGTGAAATGAAATATATCCCTGGAACTCCAAGGCACTGAGCAGTGTGCATACAACATTATAACTATACGAATACCGCATATAATCCAAATCGTGACTGGGGAGAAGAAATATCCCAAACAAATAAGTAATAAGTTAATAATTATAATGATTAATAATTATAATAAGTTAATGATAAGCTAATAATTCATAAATGCAGCCTGCTTTCACTTTTATAGTTTTTGTCATTTGGAACCCCTTGCTGATCCCTGTACTGGTCATTTGTATTTAGTTAATGTTAAATTGGCTACATTAACTCGATCCATGTGAAGTTTGCATGGTTTCCCTGTTGTTTTCCTCCAGGTACTCTGGTTTTCTCCAACAGTTCAGGAAAATTGTGGCTGGTGTAAGTGTGTGGGTCTACAGTATATCTAACTTTGTGTCTGTACGTGCCCTCTGATGGACTGGTGTCCCACCCAGGGTGAATCCAGCCTTGCACACTCATCTCAGGGTAGACACAGACACACTCACACCAAGGACAATTTTCCCAGCAGACAATTAACCTACCAGAATGCTTTTGGGCTGTAGGAGCAAACCCACGCAAACACAGGAAAAATATACAAACTCCACACAGATAACACCCAGGTCCAGAAGTGCTCAGAAACAACAATGCTATCCACTGCACCACTGTGCCACCACCTTATAGATATAATTGACCAAAAATCTGTTAGCCTGTACCACTTTGAGAACCCATACTATAAAACCTGAACAAAATGCAACAATGTTCCTCCTTTAGTAGATATCAATTTGAAAAACACTTTGAAGAACAGAAATGATTTAAAATTCAAAAGCAAGCTGATGAACTGGAGTTCAAATTTGGATGTGTTTGAGAACGACTGATACATTATCATTAGCTGTGAGTTTATGGATGTCTCTCAGTAACAGTCTCACCATAACAGTCCCCTCTCTGCTCCTCATTAGCCCTTTTGTGCCCTGCTTCATGTGCAAATGTAGCTGGACAGGTCTGTTCTGGCCGGTCATTTAGGACTTTACTCACCTCAAACGCTTTCTGGATGCCGCTGCAGATCTTGGTGCCTCCATCGGCTGCAGAAGGCAGCGCACTGGCAAGCTGGGTCCGTGCCGCCTGCCCATCGATGAGAACCAGACCCTTCAAGATCCGGGCATCATTTTTGAACTCCACGATGCCCACTCGCGAGCCCTGCTCCACAATCTGGTCCAGGAAGATCATCGCAGCCTGACGGAGCCTGTTGATCCGGTCAGACTAGAAGAGGGAAAAAGCAGAGTAACACAGCTCATATCGTCATCTCCTGAAGCAAGACAGCTCCCCACAAAGGGAGGTGGCATTGACTGCAGACAAGGGCAGGGTCTTGAATGCAGTTCCTGTGTCTTATCATCTAAATACCAGAAGGAGACATAGCCAATAGATCCTGTGTACAGTGCATGAGAGTGCAGAAAGACTTGTTATTTAAATTTATCCAACACACAAAGTATTCTGCATTACGCAAATGGTCCAGAGACTACCAATCTTGCTCCTGATTGTATAATGAATGAATAATGAAAACTTACATCCTTCATGCTCCCAGAGGTGTCCAGCACCAGACATACCACACGTTGTCTGGCCCTCAGCAGAGTGAAGGTTGGACTGGGGGGGTCCGCTGTCATGGGGGGGTTGTTGCCACCTTTGAAGTCCTTAGTCTGGCTGATGACACCCCAGACACTCCTGTAGTCACACTGCTTGTTCTGGTCATTTAGTACCTCGAAATTGTGAGTGCTGTCATCACAGAACTCAGTAACCTTGGTGGCACACATAAAAAACATATATTTCTATATTATACATTTTGGGAGTCACAATTTTTGGCTCTGTGGCACTGCATTGTGTATATCTTGATTAACTTGTGTAACCAACAAAAGATGTTATTATATAGTGAACTCCATATATTGAAACAAGGGTTTATCCAAAACCAACAACTGAAATTCAAGAGCTTAACATGAGTTGTCTCATGTCAAGTCACGTCTTCTTTCAACAGGGTATTGTGAGCTGTAGATCACACGTCTAGAAGCGTCAGGATGGGTTTTTGGAATAGATCGGCTCCCGAGCAACTACGTAAGAAAAATGGCTCAAATATGTTCTTTTGTTCAAACTATCTCTGATGGTTTAGATACCTCTACTCTTATTTCTTCTCACACTGAGGCAGTGTGAGAAGAGGAATCATTCTACAGGAGCTCACCTGTGTGACTGAGGCAGTATGAGGAGCAGTATTGTTCTACAATGTATTGCTGAGGCTGTGTAAGGAGCTGTATCACACTACAGGAGCTGACCTGTATGACTATAGCAGCGTGAGGAACAGTATCTTTCTATAGGATCTCACCTGACTATGACTGAGGCTGTCTCAGGGGCTGTATCTTTCTACATGAGCTCACTTGTGTGACTGAGGCTGTGTAATGACCAGTATCTTCCAATACAAGCTTGCCTGTGTGACTGAGGCATTATGAGGAGCAGCATCTTTTTACAGGAGCTCACCTGTGGAATGGAAGGCTGATACATGATTGAGGCCTTTGTGTTCTGCTCCTTGTGAGGGATGAAGACACAGTTCTTTGAGGGCAGCCCTGTCCAGGGGTCTATCTTACAGTCTCTCTTCGAATAACGATTCTTGATTGAGCCCCTAATGTTCTTAGAGCACCTGAGAGAGTTAGAGAGAGTACAGAGGTGCAGTTGTTATGCACTGATTGGATACTAAAGTACATGAGCATTGTGCTTGTTGTGAAGTCTCGGTGGACACCTTGTGCAAAGGAGAACAGAACGAATTGTGAAGAGTGAGACAGAATTCTAGAGAAGGGATTTTCACTTACCTAACAGCTTCTATCTCACCAGTGAAATGCCTATGAAATGGTTGCTGGAAGTTAAATTCACTGAACACTCCCCATCGCAAGATAGCCCAGGTGTACACTAACACACGACCTGGAGCACAAGAGGAGAATAATTCAGTGTGTGAAGACAAAATGTAAGAAACAATGGGTTTAAAGAGGTTCAATCTGTGAGGAAGATACTATATATAAACACAGTTCACCTATCCATTTTCTAATCTCTTCATTCAATTCAGGGTCACAGGAGAGCCGTAGCCTCTGCAGCAACAGGTACGAGGCAGGATCTACCCTGGATCTGAAGCTGGTTCATCACAGGGCACATACAGACACAAACACTCACACCCTCCCATCAGGCCCAATGTGCTTCCATAGATAAATGACCTACAGTACCAGCATGTGTTTGGACTGTGGGAGGAAACTGGAACACCCTTAGAAAACCCACGTGTTCACAGGGAGAACATACAGACCCTGCACAGATAGTCTGGAATTGAACCCAGGACCCCAGCAAGGCAGCAACGCTCACCACTGCACCACTGTGCTGCCCCCCAATAGTTCAGTTTGATGAAAAAGGAGAAACCAGTTGTTTGGTCTATTTTAAAACATGCATTTTGAAGTAGGTGTCTTGTGCACATACGACACTTCGGTAGTTCAGTCTAATTCTATTTATGATTAGCTGATTACTTTAAAAGGATAGAGTACTTATTACCTTGGTGTTAACTCATCTGGCTCAGGAAAGGACAGTGTTGGCTGTAGATCAGCACTGTCACAACCTCCCTCACTTACAAGGAATGAAACAGGGAGGCAGCTGCAAGGGTGAAGAGGTGTTAGCCCCATGGGCCTGGCTAAATTCTATGCGGAGCCTCCACAATCTGACCTCCCTAAAACTTCAACTGGTGAAGCAATTTCTCTCATTTATATAACTAGGCTATGAGAAAAACCTCGATCAAAGGCTTAAGCCATTTGTGTCTTTCTTACAGCAAAGATAAATCGTTATTCTGTAATCTATACTGATGGAAAAAAGAAACGCAACACCTTCTCCTCAACACTCTGGCCCTCCCGTCTGCGTGGAACAGGCTGAAGAGTGACCTGATGCCACTGCTGACGAGTCCATCGCAGCCTCTGTCTGGCCTAAGCCAGTCGTGTGTGATGTTTAGGAGGTGTGAGCAGAGGGCCTCTGACAGGTTGCCTTGTTCTAAGGCCGGCAGAATGGAGCCTCACTGTCCTGTCACTGATGCAGACATTGTGTTTGCTGGCAGTTTCAGCAGCAGTAGAGGTGGCAGATCTGAAACGATCTCTCAGGTGGACCAGTCTGATGTGTGAGTCCTGCTCTGGTGTGGTCACTTGAGGGGGACCGGATCTTGGACGGTCTGTCCTGCCGCCTGTCTACTGAAACATTATGTGCAGTTGGAACACAGTGGAGCAGGTTACTCCATAGTGTCTGGAGCAGCATGCCAATGGCCCTCTCCCTTGCTTCTGGTGACATTCAAGGCATTATGGAATGACTAAGTGTGGCCTTTTTCTTGCAGTGACCTAAGCTTTGAATTAAGGCCTTTTTAAAGGTGACCTGTTCCACCTGGACCTTGTTGGGTAAAAGCGTAGGTAACGAGCTTTCGTGAGATTGGCAAGTTGCAATGCCTCACTGCACAAGCTGTATTGCTGGTCAGGGGGCTTAAAACAAATGGACAACTTTTTGTGAAAGTACATAAGCTACTGTGCAACTATAGTATTCTCAATCCAGAAAATGTTGTGTTTCTTTTTTCCATCAGTATATATATAATATGTATTCAACCCCACTTGGTGGAAGCACATCTGTCAGCAATTAATACCAATTGCTGCAGCTGAATGCCTTTTTGGGAGGAAGAATGGTGGCACAGTAGTGATCACTGCTGCCTTACAGTGCTGGGGTCCTGGGTTCAGTTCAAGACCTGGGGCACTCTCGGTGTGTATTTTGTATGTTCTCCATGGGTCACTGCGGATTTCCTCCAGGTGCTCCAGGATCCTCCCACAGTCCAAAGACTTCTTGGTTGGTGAATTGACTTTGGGAGAAATTGGCCCTGGTGCAAATGTGTGTGTGTTCGTGTCTGTGTGTGCCCTTCCAATGGTATGGCGAACCGTCAAGAGTGTACCCTTGCTTTTGTTAGGAGTGTACCCTGACTCTGGCTCCCCCACGACCTTGAGTTGAATAAGCATCAGAAACAACCAGTGGGAGTCCGAGGTGCTCAGGGCTGCAGTCTCACCTCTGGGTCCGTACATGTCGATGGCCTGGTCATTCAACAGGTATTCGGGGGTCAGGTGGATATGTTTCCCCTCTTTACCACAGTAACCAAGAGTGGAAGTGTATGGAGCGCCGATGCTCTTGTCACAGAATGGATCAGCAACCTGCACACTTGCCTGTAACAGACAAACAAAGCTTTGCATAACAACAGTGGTACCCGTGTGAGTGTGTTTTCACTGTAGGATGAACTAGTGTCCAATTCAGGAGGCAGTCCTTCCTGTCACCCTATGGCACTGGGCTAGGCTGAGAATGGAGATTGTCTGAGGTGTATTGAGATGCCCGAGGGTATCGGGATAGGCTGAGGTTTGAGAAGGCGCTGGGATAAACTGAAGCTTGAGGAAGGAAGGACTTGGGAGTTGAGGGTTGGGGACTGAGGAATACTGGGATGAAGACTGAGGTTTGAGGGTAAGGGTTACCAGGGTAGTGTCACAGACTAAAATATCGTAACATTGTGTTTTCTCTCTTCTCTTTTCAGCAGGGAATAAACCTTCACTTGTTCCTATTGCTGTATATATTGCTCACAAAATATGAAGAATCAATAAATCAAATATATTAAATTTAAATATAACTGTAACGTAAGTCTAAAACCTAAATGTAACTGATCAAAAATGTCATTTCCCAATCCTTTCTCAAAAGCATGGAAATTATTTTCAAAAACGTTCTTAAAAGAACTGTATGTGTACGTGTATTAAAACAAGGGATTTAGGGAAATTGGATGTCAGCATATGCAACCCACCTCCCCGCGCACAGACACACAAACATGCGCCCACACATATCCACAACGAACAACATAGACCACTTCGAGCTCCCCATTTCTTTGCTGCTTATACCTTTATATTTCATATCCAAGTACCGGTTTCTAAATTTCAGTCCAACATTTTCAGTCAGAACACATTACACATATTACAACCCAACACATAATATCACACATAACACAGTGTGCAGCGCTGTAGTGATGTGTAGTTGTACCTCTTTATAGGTCTCAGTGCTTGGTTTCTTGTAGAGAGAATGATTTTCTTTCCAGGTTGTGGGAATTAAAATCCTCACGTCCTTGAAGAACGCCCGTTTCCTTGCGGCCGTGAACAGGTAAGGGGAAGCCTCTGTGAACATTTCCTGGAGGAAAGAACAAGCGAGGTGATTACAGCATCATTTACTGTGCTTTCACTTCTACAGTTCGCCTGACCCTCAGATGCTAGTGCAGCCCCAGATCTGAACCACCCCACCCGAAGCACTCTGCTGGATTCTGTGGATTCACTGCAAGCTTCCACTTTTCATCTCCTTGACAATTCCTTTAGAATCGATTTTCCCAGCATTCCCCTCATCCCCCAGCAAGAGCCTCATCAGCCCTGAATTCTGCTTTTGAAAAGCCTGACGTCCCTCTCGCCAAGAACACATTTTCACATCCTTCAGAAACCTCAGATTTCTTTGAATCAGTTAGTTCTGAAGGATATTTGGATATATCTGGCCTCAAGGCTCGATTGCAATTAATGATGTCTCTCCACCTACCTGTCAACTACTGTACATTTTGTACTAAGAAAGACCTATTATCCGTACTGCGCACCTCCACTACTGCATATGAGTCATTCCTGAGCACCTGTCTCTTATCTCATGTGTTTTTTATATTTAGCCCCAGGATGGATCTCAGACCCTGCCTGTGGATTGTCTGGCACAGGTCCGCTCTCTGGGATTCCATGTTTCGGCTGCAGTGGAAGTGTATGTGACTCTCACCACTGTGCCACTTAAGCAGTGATCATCCACACCTGTGTCCCATTATTCATAAAGACTGCTGTTTAAGATCTGGTTACCGAACAATCTGGCTCCATCATACATCTCTGAACTCCTCCATGCTGTCGGCTCCATTCACACGAGGCTGCTCCTCCGCTCACTGTACCCAGGACTAAATCATGGGCTTTTGGTGACCATGCCTCTTCTGTCGCTGCTCCAGTGTTGTGAAATGACCTTTCTCAGACTTTAATTCTTTAATTCTTTAACTTTAATTCTCTTCAAATCTAAACTTAAAACACCTTTTAACCAAGGTCTTTGTCTGATTGCCTACATCTGTAAAAACCTGTATGCTCTTGTTTATTTCCTTTCTTCGTTCACTTTTTATTGTATTTCTGTGTCTTTTTCTTTATGATGTACAGCATCCTTTGGTTTGTATTATTATTATGATGATTAAAATCAGCTTCTCTCCTCAGTAACCACTCAGTAGTGACGGGTGTGTCAGTGTCAGGTTTCTCCCTGCTATCTTTGCTAGTTTTGGCTCTGACCCCTGCTTGCTCCAGACTTTGTCTTTTGGGTTTTTCTCTCGGACTTTACCCCCACCTGGTTCTTGACTACGCCTCTGCCTAGTGTTTGCGCTAGTGTTTCAAACTCGGTACCACACCCATCTCTGCAGCTGGTTCTTCCAACATATCCTTCTGGATCAAACCTCACTTCAAATTTCACAGCAGAGCTTCCACTATCTGGGAAAGTGGGAAACCTTTTCATGTGAACGAACCACCTAAGGTCAGATTATCTACAAATAACTTAAGCGGAATTCCGTTTTTTTCCCCTCAGCTCCTGTGTGGCCTATGCTACGGAAGCTCATTAGTGCCACAGAGAAAAATAGATTCTTTGTGTTTAAACTAGACAGCACTGGGTTTTAATGTCATTTATGTGACATAGTATTGCATTTATACAAGAAAATTGTTGCCTTTAAACAAGAACATTATTGCATTGATATGACATAACTGCATTAAAACATGATAGTTAATCTGTGAACAACATTCCCTACTATATTAATATTGAGTATTATCTGTGCAATAATATTGTCCCATGCAAAGTAGTATTGACTTTAACAACAGAAGAATGTCATTACACTACCCTTTTTGCAAAACATTAATCTATAGAAGCATGCGTACTTTTTTTTTATACAGTACATGAAGTACCACACTGTTTCAGTGAGCATTCCTGGGTTAAATGTTTGTCATTTTCAACATTTCTGTGAGAAGTAGCCATGACACGGCTTTCTAAATGTATGACTACTGAATGAACATTGCCGATTACTGTGACCAACAATAACAGTAACAGTATGCCAACAGCAGGTATATGTCTTACTGTCAAGTCATAGTGAATGTATTCCTTTAGAATGTTAAAAGAGTAGGCAAAAACCCATGTACAATACATGTTTCTGCAGTTTCGCATAAAGAATAATGTTTGGAAAGCTGTGTCACAGAAACGGTGAAATGACACGCATTTAACCCAGGAATGCTCAATCACGGGGTGTTCTACTTCATATATACAATAGACAGAACGTGCTTCTTTACATTACTGTTTTTCAAAAAGAGGATTGTGATGATATTCTTGTGTTGTTACAGTTAATGCTGCTTTGCATGGCACAATATTATTGTGTATACAATATAATACAATATATTAAAATAGTAGTCAATATTGTTCACTAATTAACTGTCACTTCTTAATGCAGTTAAATGCAATCATTTTATAGTTTAAACACAAGTCCATATTGTAAAAATAAAATAATTGTCAATAATTTTCTCTTTTAAATGCAATACTATCTCTTTAAAAGTGCAAAAAAGGTGTTTTTCTCCACAGCGCTGATTAGCTTCTGTACTCTGCTCCCTGCGTGAATCTGTTTCTCATCTGAAAATGATTTTGCTTCTGAAAAGCTGTCCGACACTCTGAACTGCTCATTCGCAGTACATTATTCCCTCTTCCTGCACACATCCTGTCTACCAGTTGGTACAGCCTTAGGTCCGGTAACTGCTTCTCCTACATCTCTCAAAGTCTAGAATCCCTTGTCCAGTGAACCCTCTTTGGCTTCACGATGTTCTCCAAATTCACAGCTCCCTCATCCTTCCCCTGCCTATCTGACATAAGTGTTGTGTCTCTCAATACTTCACTGTTACACCTTGAGAAAAGCTGCGCAGGCCTAATCAGCTCAGGT